CTTGCAAAAGAGCGCCGCTTACTTCGGAAACAGCGAAACATCACACAAGCTGAATCAATTTCACATGTGTACTTATATGAGCGTGAAAATATTGTCAATCATAGGAGCGGAAGCGAAAAAGCACAGTCGGGAGTCGGACTCACCTGTTTTCGTGTGAGTTCTGTCATACTTGCCACATATGGGTCCCTCGTTCTTCATACTTCTCGATGAACTGCTGCTGTGCGAATGAGGGGCCGCGGTCAGCTGAAAAAAAATCAGCTGATCAACGCGGACAAATCGACGGGGAAATGACATAAGAGACACGAACGGAACACAATAGAAATATCTTTACTCTTTTCAAACCACCAGGAGAGGATAATTTTGGCAGTCTGCGCGATCGGATTAAACACGGGGATTTTTTGGCGGCACCCAATTACGGTAGTTGGGCAGAGAGGAACTGGCGGCACTGGTTGGGTCAAAGCCATGGGCAGAGCTCGCCGGATGTGGGGGCGTTGGTAATAAGGGATGAAGGGAGAGCACCATTGTTGATGACTGGCGCGACATAGTACAGAGAACACAAAAAAATGTTTTCGAATATTTGAACAAAAGGAGGGGCCAATATCAGCAGCAGCAAATGAAGTCAACCAGAGCGGAATCGATAGGTGGGGATGTCGCAGCTGGGAAAATCATATGGAAAAAACTGCTAGGAGAGGAACTTAAATTTAGGCGCTATCGCAATATACGGGGGCATTATGATGACAATGCCTTTAGCACCGCGTAGAACATATCTTTTTGTTGAAGTTTCATTTTCCCCGGGGCCTCTGTCCCCAATTAGGCTTAGTCCTAAAGAATGCCCCTGTATATTGCGATAGCGCCTAAATTTGTTCATAAAATACTTCAAAAATGACCTAGGTTTTCACAAATTAGCCAAGAGATTAGGCCTCTCAGGCCCTCTCTTTGTAGAACTTCCTAAGAAATAACACTCTCCGAACTTCGCCCGAAGGGTTCTCTATTGTTCGTGAACATAGGCATGAAAAAGCACCTAAGCAGAATTAGGCATCGATTTCTACAGGCCTTTGAGGCCAGAGAGACTATCGAAAGGCATTTGCATAGAATTATCGAGCAGAACTGATGGCCTTGCCAACAAAGAGAAAATGTAATCGAAAATGCAATAAAAAAAAGTCACTGCAAATGGATGAAAAGGTTGTAATTGAATTAATTTGTTCAAATAAGACAAATACTGTAAAAAAATAAGCACTGGTTGTGGGTGGAGTTCAATGAGAGTATGAAAAAAGCATGAACAGTCAGTTCTCAATAGACCCGTTCAGGTAGTTTGGGTGAAAAAGTAGCGAATCTTGAGAATCACGAGGAGGTCGCAACTGTTCCAAGTCGGCGATAAGGCCTTATCAGTGATATGATGCAAAAGAATAGAACCATGACAGGCCATCAAACACCGTTTACTTACCCCTCTCGGCCATTGTGACACAAGACGTTTTCTTGTCGATGAATGCATGCAGCAGCTGTCAGATTGAGACGTGTTGGCACGTCTTCAGCAGCAGCGAACGACGACGACAAGCGGGTTTCAGATTCGCCAACGACGACCGCTCCTTCTTCTGACGACGACGATCAATGGAGGGCTGGCGTCGACTTGTCCCGCCCACCCTCATGACGATGACGACGATCCCAGTCCCGCCCTATGGCGCCCTGATAGGCGAGTCTCCACGCCTTCTGCGGTCCCTCGTCGCTCTCGGCTCCGTGTGCTGAGCTCGGCTCACGCTCTATCTACCGTCTTCTGACAGCCGACACCACACATCGCTGAGCTCAGCTGAAGCCTCTCGTGCCTTGAAAGGCTTGTCACGTCTCTCCGCTCTCACCACACTATCCATATCCCCTCTGGGCTGCTCGGCCGTGGCCCACGCAATTCGACGTCATTCTGTTGTCGGTCAAAAGTGATGTCATGCTCAAAGAGGCGCGGCCAAAGCCGCGATGACGTGCACTGGCTCAAAGCCAATTCGTCACTAACTAGCAAGCAGCATATGGTGCCTTCAGTGGTACATTTGCAGCTAATGGCCACCGATGTAACGGGGGGAGTAGCAGGACGAATGACGTGGCCGGCTGGCTACGGCTTTTTCCATGACGTCTTCTTGATAATTGGATTTCCAGTGAACAGAGCGAGTGGTGGAAGAAGGCAGAACCTCAGGAATTGTGGTAATGGAATCGCGAGAAGTGGAGGCCCTGATAGTCGCTACCAACAGCTAACGTTACCGTCTTAAGAATCTCCAAAGGGACATGTAAATCCTGGGTTGTACGGGAGGTTAATAGAGCAAATCAGGGCGAGAAAAGATGCAAACTACGGGATACACCACACCTCGAGTTCTACATAGAATTATGGAAAACTTTAGGGATACTGTAACGAATTGGCCCAAGAGGGCCAGGCTATAATTGAAACAAGTCTTTCAACCCTGCAAGGCAGCAAGATGGATTAGCTTCTTCCGCAAATCCTTCCTGCGTAAGACGTCGTCGCTGCTGCGGCACTTCGCTTTGGAGAGAGGAAGCGCTCAATGACTTAGCGCCAAAAATTAGAACGTTTCCTAGGCTTCACGTAGACTCTCAATACGCTTATTGAACCTCAAAGTAGGTGAAAAGAGGCTCAGATGATGAACGTAAACTTTCAGTGCCATTTCCGTAGTCGTATTACCAACGTTTTTTTGGTGAATAAGCTGAGGATCATTCCAGTTAAATGCCATGTCAGACTAGCGGCATTTAGAGGGACATTTCGAGCTATTTCTGACATAAGAGAGATAAAAACTGGAATCCTTCAAGGTTTTTAGGAGATTTCAGCGCTAAGAAGGGTTGAAAAAAAGCTGCAACGTGATTCTTCTCTGAAGCTATGTACCTCAAAAGTGCAAGACAGAGTTTCAATTTGCTGATACGCTTAAGGAAAACACTCAATGTGTGGCAAAACGTAGGGGAAAATTTTTGCCACAAAACCTTCATCACAAAGGTTTGATCTGAAGAACTCGACAGAGGTCTTGCTTAAGAATCAGCAGAGCTAAAGTGGGAGTTGAGAACCCCAGTAGAGGATAATCAAAGTTCGTCTGAATTTAAGCAGCTTTGTGGACTGTCCATGGTAAATTTCATGATTATTTCGAGTGAAATCCAATAGCCATTCTGAGTAGGTGGGGTTTTCTCGAAGTCCTCCCGCATCTCAAAGGTTTCCTTTTCAAGCCCAAGAAAGTGGTAAGAGGAAATCATAGAAAATTCAATCCACATTCTCAGCTCCATCCGCAAGCTACCGTAATACGTTCGCAGCTAGCAAGTCGCCCGAGGCAGCGTAAGCAGAGATACAGTTGCCTTTTGACTCGAGCAAGCCTTCAGCGTTAACGGAACAGGAAGCTAACCGGGGCTGATGATGTCACCTCAACTCAGCCAAAAGCCTTCGTCGTTAGCACCCATGAGCCAGAGCTTACAATTCGTGTTAATGCCTAAGAGGGTCAGGGTTGTCCGTTGGGGAATTAACCAGTACAAGGGGGTTGTATTTGGTTTCACGATAGGATGATGGCGGTGGTGGGGTGGAAGTATGGGGTGGAGGTCGTAGGGTTGTAGGTTGTAGGCTTCTGGTTGAGGTAATTTCCATAGCAGCTCATCACAAAAATTTTGGAGTGCCCCCCCTTCCTCCGCCCTTTCCTCTTTCCATTCCAATTCCTGCTCAGATTCGGAGGAGTGGAGATTTAGGTGATGGTTGCTCTGGCCTCTAAGGTACGAGCCCTCCGCGACTTCTGCGCTGTGTTTGATCTCGGAGTTATTGACTCAGTTTCCTGCGTTTTTTCCAACAATCCTGGCTGTGGAGGTCATGAATAGTAGTAATTGTTCAAACGTCGGCACTATTGAGAGTTAGAGGCAGTAATTTGGGCTCTAATGCATAGAATATCATCATTTCTTTTCCCGATTTAATCGACACAGATAAAGAAAGATAGCGCAGAATCTCGCACTACCTCTGCGTTTTCCAACAAAGTTTCGAAGGAAGTATTTTTGGCTATATGTTAGGGGGTTAAAGGCATTGAACACGATGGCTGAAGGGCGGAACGATTTTGGTGAACGTCACTAAGGCGGGGTGGGTGAAAGGCTTGAGAGGCGGTCCCAACCACACTCCCTGTAGGGAGAGGGGTGGTCCACCGATGACGGCCAATGACATCATCAATCACTCCACCTTCCAGCTCGTGTTCATTCGTTGGGGGGGGGGATTAAGTGAGTGAGCCAATTACTGTGCTTGGGACTAAGCCTTAGGCAGGGGAAGGGATTCTGGGGTAGGATGTGAGCAATATGTGTCCTCCCTGGCATTTCTCCCCTCTCCTGAGCTTAGTCGTGGTGAGATCCCTACGCCGTATTTTGAATGACCCCCTAAGGACATGGGCACCTTTTTCTGAAGCAAGTGGCCCAGCAGGGGGTTATTGGTGAGACTCTCGAGGTACTGCACTTATGGCGCCAAACTGCTAAGGGAGTCAGGCGGTTTTATTCCATCCCCATTCTGTTGTCGAAATCCCGTAACATAGCCCAAGCGAGCTTGCTAGACAAGTTACAAATGACGTGTCGAAGGAAGGTGCACTTTCGATTCTTCAGGGAATTAGCGTGAACACGTGTAAATGTAAACCAATGGAAAGTCTTTGTGAACAACTCATTCAATTTCCGGGGACAAAAATACGTGTGCGCTCTAATAGAATCGGCAATGACGTGCTCACGTCGTGAAGGTGCTAAATATTAGCTTGCACCATTTTTCAGACCGAGGCCGGGCTTGTGGAGAGCGCTGGCCTACCGCAAAATTTGCCCTTTTCAATGCAACCAAAAAAGAGTCAATAACTATTATTGAATCATTTCAGTGGAACAGCTGACTTATGAGCAGTCCTCGTCCATATGCTGATGAAACACGACCAAAACAATTCGCGGCCTACATTTGAGAGGCGGCGAAAAATCCCCTCGAAATATTGTCGATTTCCAGCTGAAAATCAGCTGAGGAGCAGAGCTTGGAATAATTTCAACACACGGCTAGAATGCGAGCGTGACGAGAAAGAGAAGAATGAGCTGCTCGGGGGAAAATGAATAAATTCAATTAATCACGGAACCCGGTCTGGAAATTTCTCGAAAACCTGCTCTGTTCCGAGATGGATTTCTCTAGAAGATAGAACCCATTTTTTGGGTTCATGGCAAAGGGTTGTCCTTTTTCAAACTAAATATCGAATGTGCCCTTTTCAAGCGTGTTCAGTACCGCCGAAACAGCTCTTTAAGGAAGAACGAGGAATTCGTTAGGCTACGCTGATGAGGATGGTCGGTTGTGTTGTTTTGCTTCTGTCGTCGATAATCCCCAGAAGGGGGAACTCGTCGTTCGTCGACAACTCGTGCTCAGCTCATGTCAGACAACATATCCAGTCATGAAGGGAATCATTCGAGCATGTAAATACAGCTATTTATTAGCTTTAGCATCGCCAATTTGCTAGCTTTTTTGTACATGCGATGCTATCAATACGTATTTCTGGGATACGCCACACATGCGGTTTCTGATGAGAATTGTTGAATCACTCAATTACGTCCGGTCATCCTCAGAGCTCTTTATAGTCGATCAAATTACTCTAAATTTCAGTAAGTTGGGCCTAGACGTATGGCTTAGTATCGTTAGACATAAGCTAACTTAGCTAACTAGAGTTTTCTAAATAATGTGCTTTGTGGCCTCCACATTGTTATGGGGTCAGCCGCTATGGAATACTTTAACAAAGCCATAGGGTAGGTAAAGGTACATTGCTTGATAGGAGAAGTAGGGTAATGGGGCTCAAATGTGAAACAGAAGGTGCTGATCTGCGAGGCAGATGAGTTTAAAAAGACACCCTGCGCAGAGGGGACAGAAGTCAATCGGCGGAGAGAGCATGGGGACGAGAGAGACGCAGATGTCGCATTTTTGGGCGTACATGATTGTCCATTCTTGCAAATCTCAAGAATGTCTGAGATTGCTCACTGAGCAATCTCGAGCCTCCTGGAGGGATAGAGTTGCTCATGATCCTTAGGGAACGTTCGGGAACGAGGCATGATCGATATTAAGTGACGCCTAAGACTAAACGATGAGCCGCAGCGAGGGTTGATAAAACGCCTGAGAGAAACAAAGGGTTGCTCACATCTTATCCGGATACCTTCCAACCATTAAGGCTTAGTCTCAAATTCTATAAGTGGATCAGTCACTTCAATGTCCTACCCCACCCCCCTCCCACCCCATAACATCAGCGTCGTTAAAAGGTAACAAATCACGGAGTTAGCCTTTAATTGGTGGAAAAATGATGTCATTCTGGAGTCGAAACTCCGAAAATCTGCATGATTGAACAAAGAAGAAAACACTCATCAAAAACGAGACAGCCAAAATCTCTGACGGCTTGCATGGCCTGTGGGGCTGAGCGATGTTCAAGCCTACGCTTTTGATCAACCAGACAATAGCATCGCCCACTGACTGATACGATATCAGAACGAAGAAAG